GAGTTTTTTTTTTCATGTGGTATACTTTTGTAGATTTCGTAGGTTTTTATTGATTATTATAAACTTTAAGAAATTGACAAACTTTTTAGTGTAGACGTATACAATTCTTTTATAGAGTTAATGATATAATTTGTAGAATTCAAAAGGAATTTAACAGACTTTTGAAATAACTATATTTTTTTTTTTTTTGTTATTGAGAAAACAATTAGGAGTAAAAAAGGCTACCCTTATGTAATTTTACTTTTATGCTACGACCAAAGTCACCTGTTTCTAATGTGGTGTTGTGGTGATAAAGAACTGGGGGTTTAGGTGGTGATGGGCAAGACGGGTGTAAAGGTGGCGATCATAATGGTGGTAGTGTTAGTACGTAGTGGTCATGGGTGGGGTGGCGGCAATAGGAGGTTATGGTGGGAGTGGTGGTGGCGGGCAAGGTAAGATGGTGGTATTATAGGTGGCGACTATGGTGGTCACGTTGACGGCGATGTAAAGATTTATATACTTTTTTTTTTCTTCTTACATACGTTATGTTAACTTCTGTTCTTTATTTATTTTTTAATTCATTTAATTTAACAGTTGAAAACTAAAATGTGTGAAATTAAAAATGAATTTATGAATAATTTTTACAACAAAACCTCTATTTAAATTTATTATCGAGCACCACCCTACTTTTTAAGTTAGGTAAAAACAAGCACAAACTTCCACAGAAAACAAATAGACTTATTAAAATGCGAAGGGAAAGCACTCAATCATAGGGCTTACCAAAAGGAAGAAAAAGTTGCACAAAAGGAAAGTAATAGCTCCACGTACTCATCCAAATCCACAAAATCTATGAGATGAAATCTATCAATGTCCCATAAAGTTAGAGAAGCAAGAGACCCGTTTCAATGTAACAAGAACAACTGTCCTGTTGGACCTCGAAGAAAGTTGAAGAAACGACATTTTCAGAGGGTCCTACTTACTTCCTCCTAAAATAGTATGCTCATTTGACCATGCATGTTAGTTTCTATCTGTCAATCATCTTCGCTTTCCTCTCAAATGGGGTATTAGGTTTTTCATAACATTGTCGGTCCATGGAGATTTCTATGGTCGTGGATTAATCTCTATATTATATAGTCGGCAAGGAAATTATTGATGAATATATGGTCACAGCAACTTTTTACCTTATGAAGTTGGGTAAGTGGTTCAGATCTGCAATCTGTCACACCAGAGGACTGTTGGGAGACTCTTACTAGCACATCTCGACTCTTACCGGCACTAGATCTAGATGTGCATTTCATGTTTACTATTTCTCCCTCGCGCATGCGAGGAAATTCTTCAATGTTGCTATGGAGTCTTATATTTCATTACGTTATTACTTAACGTGATGAGATGAGATTCTTGAATGTAGTCATAGGATATTCTTCTAGTGATGTTTCTTTCATCACATGATTTGTTGGAATTTAGGATTATTTTATTTTTGAATTTGAGCTTAGCCCGTTAGTATTAGGGTTTTGTTTTATTGCTTATTAGGATTATGTTAGTTCTCTATATATATGATGCTTTGTAACTCGTAAAATATTAAGTTAGTCACGATGTAGTATCTTGAGATTCTGTAGCCTTTTCGACATTCTTATTTGTTTAATAATATTTTTGTTAGTCTTATTCATCGTGTACTCTGATATTCAACTTGGTATCAAAGCCAGGTTCCGATCCTAGAACCTTTGGGTATCAGAGAGCCAGGTTCTGATATTCAACTTGACTTTCATCTCATGTGACTACCGAGATAGTTCATATTAATAATGACGCAGTAGCTTATAGTTTATTAATTGGCAGCCCATGCGTATTGGAAGTCTATAGCTTAATTAAGTTTGAAATATTGTCACATAGGAACTTGTCAAGTTATTTGGGGAGTTGTAAAGGTTTCATATAAAATTGAGGTTTATTAATTTGTAAACCCTTATAAATACTGTACTAGAAAGCTTTGAATGACAAAGACTTGTTTAATTAAAAAAATAGAAAATTTCATTTTAATCCCTAAAAAAGATGAGTTTTAGATTATAACCATATGTAAGATTAAAATTCAATTTTAGTCCCTAGCACATTTAATCATATCATTTATTAGTTGTATTTTGATGTTTTATTTTATCTTTTTATTTTTATTTTAATGTATTAATTACATTTACATTTAATTTTTATTTCATTCACCATAATATATTTTAATGTCTACATTTAGGCAACTAAATTTTTTATAATATATATTCCGATAACAATTTTGTATGTTCTTCATTAAGGTACATTAATACATTTGAATATTTTGGTATATCTATCGGTACAAAAATGTAGTTACATTGATTCAATATAATGCATTTCGATCAATATAATGCATTTCGTTACGTACACTTTGATACACATATTTGAGTATTGACTTTTAGGTACATTAATTCAATTATTATTTCGGTAAATACATTTAGGTACATACATTTTGGTATTGATATTTAGGTACATACATTTTCGGTATTGACATTTTCGGTATTGACATTTAGGTTCATACATTTTGGTACATACATTTCAGTATTGACATTTAGGTACACTTGTATTGACATTTTTTTATTTAGGTACATACATTTTTGGTATTGACATTTAGGTTTGTACATTTTGGTACTTACATTTCGGTATTGACATTTAGGTTCGTACATTTTGGTACTTACATTTCGGTATTGACTTTTAGGTACATTAATTCAATATAATACATTTCAGTACATACATTTAGGTTCATTATAATATATTTCGGTACAATCATGTAGGTACAAATATTTTGGTACAAAAAAGTCAATTTTATATATTTTGGCACAATCATTTTTGTACACTTATGTATCTATATATTTTTGTATCACGAATTTTTTTTTAATATTTTCTCATTTACGTTCATTTCTAATTAAAACAAATTAAATGTGTGCATATTAATAAAATTAAAATTAATATGGAGAGATTAAATAAAAATACACATTCAATAAGAAAAATTGAATGTAAATTTTGATAAAAGTACACTCAAGGGATTAAATTGAATATTTAATCTAGCATCAGGTTTTTTTTTTAATTTTAATCTTTTGCAAGGACTAATGTTCAAAAAACCCTTAAAAAAATTATATATTTACTTGGAGCAATTGAAGTGAGTGAGTGTTTATTACTTTTAAAATTAAGCTTTTGGTTTAATCATATTGAGTGATTCCACGATTACCAACGTCCAGCAAAATCCATTGCCCATAATTGAATGTTTTTAGGATGATAATCCCTCATCTCTTCGAGACTCGGTTCTCCAAGTGAGTTCCTCATCTTTGACCTTATGACCTTATGAGATCATGTATTAATTCTTGGTCCTCGCTTGATATTGTTTAGTGCGCAGAATATTATATGCATGATGAGAAATAACATATATGCACCCCCAATTGTAGAATCAAATCACACGTACGATGACTACTAGGGTCTAGGGGATGGGATGTTCTCAAGACTTTGTGGCCTAATCCAACGTGTTCATGATGTTGTAGTGATTTGCTCCTGCGTATTTTTCAACTAATAATCGTACATCTATGACACTTGAATGAGGATTTTTTCTTATGTCGACGCGGAAGCTAAATATTGTTAGATCAACTAATTAGCAATTTCTAATTCTTCATTTTAAACAGTACTCTTTATTAAATAAAATTCTAGGGAGGTGTTGAAGCTTATCTAACTCTAAACGAAATCCGAACTTGAGCATATTCTTACCAAAATAATGAATTGAATTATAAAAATGCTAAATAAACTCTCTCAAAAATAAGATTCTTATAGAATTTTCGCCATCTTGCAGTTTAATATTAATTTATATATCGATATTATAAAATATTATTCTAAAAACATGAAGTAACAGAGAATTTATAACAAGTCTTACTTTTAAAAGAACCGTCTTAGCATTTCGTTGAATTATCGGTGGAGGAAAAAAGAAGACAAACGAGTACATATACCAGCAGGCATGCATGAGACACGAGTCTAACCTTGCTGCTTTTTCACACGTGATACTCTGAACAAACTTATCCTGTGCTCCGCACCGCCAGCGCACATGAGGTCGGTGCAAAGGAGCAACGATTACGTGGGGTCCAGCACAGGGTGAATTCCGACAAATCAAGAGATGCCACGTAAGAGCCAACAATCAGGTGTGGGGCGGCGCACTGGATGGGAACATGCGATGGCAAAGTTTCCGGCGAAAAGGTTAAAGTAGGTGAAGGACTTGGGCCACGTTAGGACCTACGAACAAAGTTCATTAGAATTTATGGGCCCAATTAATAATTTTTTGTTTTCCTTAAATTATGAAGTGATCATTGTCCCTATGCTTTTGCCCTTTTTACCGTTTAGGATTTCAATTTGCACTGTTAAATTGGTTGGGTGTGGGAGGGTAATTTGGTCTTTCAATTAAATTTGCAAATAAAAAAACAAAGAAATGATTTCCGCACCTTTATCTTTTCTTGAAATCACGGTTTATTTGTGACATTTGAATTGGATGATCAAAAGACACAAGAGGTGCAGAAGAAGAAAAACGTGCACGACAATCATTTCCTTTAAAAGGAAGGAAAATGCGTATGAGACTTTAGCAAAAGTGTGACTTTCCACGAATACTATATCACCTCATATTTTTTGCACAATATTTTATAATATCAACACTAAAATTAACGTTAAACTGTAAGGTGTTGCTAGAGTAGGATTCTCTAATTTCTTATCTACATCCTTTTCCTTCACCTCCTCTCACACTTTGCTTTTGGTCTTTTTGTCCCTTGCAAAAAATCAACATAAAATGTTGATGTAGCTCAATCGTAACTGTTCAAGTATGAGGGGAGGGAAGGAGAGAGAGATTAGGAGGAAAAAGAATCCTCATCCGGCAGCGAGTCCATGTAGAGTTCTACTTTGAGAGAATCTTCTTAGCTTTCTCTAAAAAGAATGTTTACAAAGACGAGAGAAACTTACCTATACATGGAGTGCAAATGTGGAGGTGCTAAATACACTGTCAAGTATTTTAACTTTACGAAATGATAATGTATTATTAGCTTGGAATACTGCTACAATGACATATCAAGTGTAGGTAATTTCTGTTCAACAAATACGTAGGTATGGAGAGCGACACCAAAATTTAATATTTTTCAAAAGTTCTCTAATTCATAACATGAAGGGGACCAGGATAAATTTCAACCACATGAGCCTTTCCAAAAGAACAATTGTATTAAGTTGCTGGCTTCTTCAAATGGTCGGCCTGAAATTGTCTTAACAGTTGCAGAGACTGATGATATAGATTGAGGTCAATGCCGTCAACATTCCTTCCCATACGCGCCTGCAACACTGCCTGAGAAAAAAGAACAAGAACACTTGACCTTTCTTGCTTTCACATTCATGTGTTGTAACACGTGAAAAAGAGCGGCACCAAAAAAAATCATCAAGTGAATGTAAATGTAAGTTACCACTTACCTCATTATCCGGTTGAATAAGCAGCTCGCCGATGAACTGGTAGATGGATCCAACTCGAAAGCTGAGCTCCCGGAGGTGCTGCGTGTTGATTTTTAACCTCTCACTTCCATCGACGATTGTGGCAATGACTGTCTCTACAGAGTAATCGTGTAACCTACGAACGAAACAAGGAATACTAATTCATAAACTGTTTGATGAATTTGAATCTGTTTGATCTATTACCAACTGTTTTGGGTTGTATTAGTGACATTTTTCTAATTATTAAGCTCAGTCAGATTCTAAAGTGTTTCTTAATGTCTACTTCGGGCACAACCAGAGATGCCAAATTTGCCCGAAGAAGATCTTCTCGGACAGTTCTGCATCCACTCCAACACACTACCATCTTGATGATGATCTAAGTAAATCATAAGCAAACCACAATCGCTCCAACCAACATTGTCACAACACCGAAAATGCTGAAACTATCATATCTACATTGCCCTAATGATATACTCCAGCTATGATGCCATAGCTGTCCCCAAGGAGAAAAACTCCCCTGCAGGCTGCAACGGGGTGCATATCCCGATTTTCCTTTAGCTTGTGTGAAATGGTACGTGATGAGAGATACAGGAACACGGCAATAATGACCCTGGGATAGGAAAGTTTCCCTCGTCCTGAAGACCAACCGAGCCAGCCTTCGCTATAAACTACTTGTACCCTAAACATGTGGAAGGGAAGAAGTCTTACTTTCCGGTTACTCGTAACGATGCTCCTTGCTTGAAATATGGGGAAGATGGATGCAAATCTTGCAATGTGACCAATGCCCCCGATGTTATCTCAGATGATGCCATCGACTAAACTGTCTAGCTTCAGAAAAGCATCCAAATCTCTACTGCAATTTGACTAGTGAATAAAATCAATTACCAAAAATTACTAATGCAAGCATTTGAACAATAAGTTGGACCTTTTAGCAATTTTAACAACCTATCAAAAGAAGTAAACTTTGGAAAATTAAGAAAAACAATGGGGTTAAAGGAGCAGAAAGCATATATTTGCACTTCAAAGTTCAAAGTTCGAAGTTCAAACCCACCACCCATTCAAAATTTACCCAATGTCTCAAATAGGCTCTAATGTTATTTTTTTAGAGAAAAATCATGAGGGTAAGAACAATTTAGCAGAAAACCCATCCCCCAGATTCACAATTCAAACTAAATGCAGATAAAAGATGACATCTTTCTCCTTCAATCCATTCACCCAATTCAAATCAGCATAAAATCCAGTTACAAAATGATACATATCAACAAATCAACCATACCCAGTACCCATATTAAAAAAAAAAAATTCAAACTTTAAGAAAATAGCAAAGGGGGATGCTTACCTCGCCTTCTGTGTGAGGAGGTGAAGAAGGAAGAGAGGGAAAGAGATGATCATTCGAATACTGGTAGTCTGGAAGTATCAGCAAAGATTCAAACTTTAACAGCAGCAGGCCTACAGCCTACCTCATCTATTTTATCTGGGCTTTTACGAAATCGAATCAGTCGGTTTCGTTGGGCCTTTCTGAAGGAAAGTTATGCTTTCATTTGGGTTGGAATAACATCATGCCCAAGTCAGTCCAAACTTGTTTGGACTGAATTCAATTTTTTTTCCCAAAAGAATATAATCTCCGCATGAACATTTTTCAGCCTCTCCACATGCTATTATTTCTTAAGCACTAAAGTTAATCTTGTGAAATGCGTTCTATTTATCGTGAAAATAATTTTGCGGATGATTTGGCTCTTTAAGTTTGTCATGCAGTTTGGGTCCAGTCCTTTTTTAGCAAGCTCTTTCTTCATACAATTTGAATGAAGTGAGGATGAGTGACCACATAACCATGGTGACATAGGATTTGATGATAACACCACCTATTGTGTATATTTTGCTAAAATGGTACTTCATATCCTTAAAACCAAATACTTGAGAATTGGTATGAAGAAAAGATATAAAATTTGCTACATTCCAAATGAACAAGTGTTGTTTAGTTAGAAAGTCAAAGATTGAGAGGAAAAGTGTCTCGCATACGACTGTTGACAAATAGCTAATTTAACCTAATCGTCTTTATAAAATATACATATATATATATATATATATATATATACAGGGAGCTTAAGGGAGGGATCCCCATTTTTTTTTTAAAAATGGGGACACGCTCCCTACCGTTAGATTGACTTTAATGAAATTGTGTGGTTGAGATTAAAACACAGGCTATAGAATCTCAACCACAGGATTTCATTTAATTCAAATCCAACGGTGGGGAGCGTGTCCCCATTTTTTTGAAAAAATGGGGATCCCTCCCCTTAAGCAATTCCTATATATATATATATATATAAGACTGAGAAGCAATGGAAGAGAAAAGGAATTAAGCCCCCGAGTGCCACAACCTCTGCGCACCCGAAGTAGTTTGGAGAGGGGGTGGTGTCCAAATTCCCATGACTATTGGGGAGGAACTTAACTTTCTCTTTATCTTCCTCTTGAGGTGGTTGACAGCTGAGGAAGAAAGAAGAAGTTAAAGCATTTTGTGACTTTTGATGTAAACCAATCAATATCAAGGCACTAACCCATGCACGCCCATGCCCTAGCATGATATCACCACTTACTATTAATTCTTGAGTGACACTTCATCTATTTTTCAATGCTATACTCATGATAACGACATATTTTTTGGTATAATCGCCACACTACTAAAATGAAGATAAAATTTTCAATAAGACTGCTTGATTGTACTAGTTCTCATACTGAATAGGACTAGCTACCTTGGTGTGGGGTTATGACCCTAATATTTTTATAGGAAAACTAATGAAAAGAGCTTGAAAACTTTGAGTTTTAATGATAAGGACAAAATAAATGATAAAGTGAATAGTACCAGAATTGACTTTTCAGTGTAAAAATGTGGTTTTTCGTTAAAGTGAACAGTACCGGGTGCTTTTCGTTAAAGTTCCCTATTTTTATTCATGTGACTTTATACAAGGTTTTCTCATACGACGACCTATCCACTTATGTTGTAAATATACAAAGCGGGCGTTGAGGGGAAGCGAAAGGTACAGTCGCACAGGATCCTAAATTTGAAGGGACCCCTAAAATTTTTATCACCTGATATTTATATGTAATAATGTTCTATGTTTAAAAATTATTTTTGTTAGCACTTTAAAATCTCATCTTGCATTCCTTATAACATTTAATTTTTTTTCCTTTCTAAATATAAAAAATTTGGAGTACAATGAGATACTTTTAATGGCAATAATAATACCTTAAAAAAGGGTTTTTTTTTTTTCAATTTATTATATAATAATGTTATATATTCAAGCGAAACTTTAAAGTTAGAGTTTTTGAAGTTTTTTTTTCGTGTTTGGTTATTTAAGATCGAACTGCTTTTGATTATTTAGTGAACGTTATGTTTGTAGTTCTTTTTATTTATTATTAATGATATTTTTAAACTTACAATTAGTGAGTGCTACACTTATTTTGATTTAAGTGATTACTTTCTAGCGTCAATACATTGTCCTACCTTTAAAAAAAAAAAAAACTATCTTAAATAGGGACCCTTTTATTAATTTCGCACATGACTCCAAAAATCTCAGAGACGGTCCTATAAATATAGAACATGTATCCATTGTACTCTAGGTCTATGTGTCCGTCCAGACGTATTTCTATGCAAGAGTAAACAATACCAAATACAATACGTGACCATCAAATGTTAATAATATTAGGGGTCTGTCCTGGTATTAGTTCTTTGTACTAAATGCTCATACCAAAAAGCCACCACCCATTAATTGCTGAACAAAAAGTGTAGCTGTATAGATCATCTTCTTCTCCCCGCAACCATCTCTCAGAATTCACAGATTCAAACTCTCTGTCAGAAATGGAAAACAACACCAACATAAATTTAACTCCTTTTTAAGCAGTTTCTGATGCCAAAAGATTCCAACTTTGAACACGCTCGTTCTGCATGGGAATTTCAAATTTCCGTTCTTTGTAACCAACCGTCGGTCAAATTCACAGAGTCTTCGTTTCCGCACTCACGTCTGTGATTCCTCGTCGTCCTACATAAACACGAGTAGAAATCTCTTCTGGGTCGTGTGCAATATCGGGGAGCTATGCCATACGAAACTGAAAAAACGAAGAGTTCAGCGGCAGCGGCGGCGGCAGGGCATGGTATGATGGAGATAGAAGCGGGAAAGCCCTCAGGAAACGGGGTTGTGGCCGGAGGGCTGAGCCATCTGAGTGAGACTCTGTGGAGGGAGAAGACAAGTTTGGAGATTGTGGGAGATGTGTCTGCAAGGCTGACGTGGAAGGATCTGACGGTGATGGTGACTCTGAACAACGGCGAGACGCAGAAGGTGTTGGAGGGTTTGACTGGTTACGCTGAGCCTGGAACTTTCACGGCTCTCATGGGGCCTTCTGGTTCTGGGAAGTCTACTTTGCTTGATGCTCTGTCGAGTCGGTTGGCCGCCAATGCTTTTCTTTCTGGTACTATTCTGCTCAATGGCCGCAAACGGAAGCTCTCTTTTGGCACTGCTGTGAGTAGTAATCTCCGTCTCTCTTAATTTGAATGTTTTTTGTCTACTTGAGTTTGAGTTGTTGCTTTACGTTTGTTTGGGTCCATTTACGTAGGAAGCACTTCTGCTCGTAAGCGCTTTTGCTAAAAGTGCTCTTTTTAAAAAGTTAAAAACACCTTGAAATTAGTAGATTATGTTTGATCAAGCTAGCTAGGCAGGCTTCTAGATGTGATGTATTCATGATGTTGTTTTTGTGGATGTTGGTGCAAATTTAAACAGGCCTATGTGACCCAAGATGACAATTTGATTGGAACTTTAACGGTGCGAGAGACGATTTCTTATTCGGCAAGGCTAAGGCTGCCGGATAAGATGGCTTGGTCGGAAAAGCGGGCACTGGTTGAGAGTACAATCATAGAGATGGGTCTGCAGGATTGCGCCGACACAGTTATTGGAAATTGGCATTTGCGTGGGATCAGTGGGGGAGAGAAGAGAAGGGTCAGCATTGCTCTTGAAATCTTGACGAGGCCTAGATTGCTCTTCCTGGATGAGCCAACAAGCGGACTTGATAGGTATATTTGTATGCCTTCATTTAATTGGTTTGAAGTGCTTTCACTTTTGTGTTGTAGGGTTAAATCTTGATGATCATTTGGTTTTTTGTGGCAGTGCTTCGGCGTTTTTCGTGACTCAGACATTGCGTGCCCTGGCACGAGACGGAAGGACTGTCATAGCCTCAATTCACCAGCCCAGTAGTGAAGTCTTTGAACTGTTTGATCAACTGTACTTGCTTTCTAGTGGCAAAACAGTCTATTTTGGTCAGGCGGCAGACGCATATGGGGCACGAACTCTCAGTCTTTGCGTTATGAACATCTATTTGTTGATTTAATGTAAGTGTAACAGAGCTCTTACGAACTCATTGGTCGGTTTTTTCAGTTCTTTGCACAAGCCGGCTTTCCGTGCCCTGCTTTGAGGAACCCATCTGATCATTTTCTTAGATGCATAAACTCCGACTTCGACAAAGTAAAGGCCACACTGAAAGGGTCCATGGAACTCAGGGTACGCATAGTACTTTCTCCTTTCTACTTCTATGTTATGTAACTTTAAATGTTCATACTTCGTAGCATTAGTTTCGGTCTTCTGATAAAATTCAAAATGTTTTGTTTGTTGTTATCAGTTTGAGGCAAGTGATGACCCGTTGGAGAAGATTACCACTGCTGAAGCTATAAGAGTTCTTATTGACTCCTATCGTTCTTCTCAATACTCGTACGCAGCTAGAGAAAAAGTTGAGGAGATATCGAAAGTTGTAAGTGTTCATATAAACCGGGATTTTAAACCAGTTGATCATTAATCTGATTACTCTGACTGACGTTTCTTTCGCCATTTGCTGCAGAAAGGAACCGTGCTAGATTCTGGAGGAAGTCAGGCTAGTTTCTTTATGCAGGCCTTCCAATTGTCCAAGCGTTCGTTTATCAATATGTCGAGGGACTTTGGATACTACTGGCTCAGGCTCGTCATTTACATTGTCGTCACAGTTTGTATCGGAACCATTTATTTGAATGTGGGAACGGGTTACAGTTCGATTCTGGTATGTATTATTTGCAAGGCTGAACCATCTATTTGGAGTCCCAAGTTCATTCATGCACTAATACCTTCTCCTCTTCCATTCTGTGACAGGCACGGGGTTCGTGTGCATCATTCGTCTTTGGTTTTGTCACGTTCATGTCAATTGGCGGGTTTCCTTCCTTCGTAGAGGATATGAAGGTTTGTTCCCTACACCCTTCTACCGGTTCACCCCATGCGAAAAGGCCCTAAATATTTACTTGGACAGTAATAGTCTAATTTTTCACCACCTAATTTCTCCAGGTTTTCCAAAGAGAGAGGCTGAATGGCCACTACGGCGTTACTGCATTTGTCATCAGCAACACGCTCTCTGCAATGCCATTCCTGATACTGATTACCTTTCTCGCCGGAACTGTTTGTTACTTCATGGTCCGGCTCCACCCGGGCTTTGAGCATTATCTCTTCTTTGTGTTGTGCCTTTATGCAAGTGTCACCGTCGTTGAGAGCTTGATGATGGCGATAGCCAGCATCGTCCCCAACTTCCTCATGGGCATTATCATAGGGGCTGGAATTCAGGTTTGTAATAATTTCGAAGCACACGACTTAGAAGCTTGTGGAAATCGGCACTCAGTAACACTTTTCCTCTTCTTGAACCGTGTTTGATGAACTGTATGGTTTTCTTCACATGTCAGGGTATCTTCATGCTAGTCTCCGGGTACTTCAGGCTCCCGAATGACATCCCAAAACCCGTCTGGCGTTACCCTATGTCATACATCAGCTTCCACTTCTGGGCTTTACAGGTAAAAAATACAACATTTGTTAGATTTTTGGGTCGACGGGCCAAGGGCGCCACTTCAACAACTCTGATATTGTCCCTAAACTTGATAATTACCACCTGCTCTATCGGTCAGATGTGGAGTTTTATCACAAAATGCATTAGTATTAGTTAGAGTGGGGCAATAATATTTAAACTATTTCTTTCTTCTTTCCCCCACCAAAGTGGGATAGCCGACCTCTGAGTCAAATCCAACAAGAAAACGCATAGGCAATGTGAAGAAGGAGGCAACAAAGTTGTTACTCGGACAACATAATATCCGGAAAGATTAACGGCAATTCGATATCAAACACGAAGACGTCAAAGTCTCCGTAACTGAAACCATCAAATGGCATTTGCTCGTCGTAACGGAAGACCAAAGTGGGTGACGATAGAGCCTCACTGGATGGCGGAGGTACACACCTGCATCCCTTCTCTGCAGCTAGGACCACCACATCGGCAACGAATTTCTCCTCCGTTATAACAACGTTAGGAAGCGAGTCTCTGTCAGTGCCCACTTCGTTCCTCCGTTACAACGAGCAAACACCATTTGATGGTTTCCGTTACAGAGCCGTTGACGCCTTCGTGTTTGATATCGACTTGCCGTTGAGCTTTCAGGATATTATGTTGTCGAGTAACAACTTTGCGCGAGGTGAGCTCGGCAAGTTTGACGTCGACGATTTCTTAGCTGACGTCGTATGTTGAATCCAACAAGTGTAAACTCCAAGTGTGCACGTGTATGTTAGAGGATTATATTGTAATTACTTAGAGGGAATGTGCTTCAAAAAACTGATGTCTATGAACATGTTTCACCTTCAGGGACAATACCAGAATGACCTGAGCGGCTTATTGTTCGACAACCAGACACCGGACCTTCCTAAGATTCCCGGCGAGTACATCCTGGAAAATGTGTTCCAGATTAACACAGCCAGATCGAAATGGATAGACCTGAGTGTGATCTTGAGCATGATTGTCGTGTACCGGATCATCTTCTTCATCATGATCAAGTTCAGCGAGGATGTGACGCCGTGGATTCGAGGTTACATGGCGAGGCGAAGAATACAACAGAAGAATGGAAACCAGAACACAACAGTTGCTCCCGATGGCCTCACACAGTCACCTTCTTTGAGGAACCATGCAAGAAGGTAGACTGAAACCTCTGAATACAAATTCCACAAAATTAAAATACACTTGAGGGACTTCGAATTTAGAAATTGTAGTGTATGTTTTGATGCTTGATTTCTAAATATTATGAGTTTTTAAGCGGAGGGAGGATGACTGTAGGTTTTATCCTGGTGATCATTTACTTACCTTGAAGGACGCGATCTCGCGTAAGTAAAAGATGTAAAAATACATTTAGAGCTGGTTTGGAAGTGATTTTGGAATGTCTAGAGGTGCTTTTAACGATGTCTTAAAAAAAAAAAAAATAAATAAAAATAAAAGTGACAAATTATAAAATTATTTCGACTTCCGTTAAAATTTCCAATGTGCTTCAATGCGCTTATGAGAAAGCTCATGAACAGTGTCTTTTCATAAACATTTTAGAAGAGAAACTTCAAAAGGGTTGCTGCAACAGGGCACCGCCCTCAAAAGGGTGGGATTAGTGGGGTCAGATGAGATCATGAAGCTCTGTTACGTGAGAATTGACAAACAGTACACGTGGTCCGGCTGTCCTACACAAGTTTTTCTTGCAATCTAATTTCATTCATCCCATATTCGAAGTATAGTTTTTGTTGATCTAGCATTCTAATTAGGGTTAGTGGCATGAATTTGGTCATTATTGGTATACGAAGCATGGACATGGTGGTATCCCCTTGTATCCCTATGTCGTATCATGTCGTATTCTCTTGTGGGCATGCATCAACTCTTCTTGTTAATTTGACATATCCCCCGTGTTAATATCTCAATCGATTTTTATGTGGAACTATGTACAATTTCAAGTCAACAGATTGTTCCTACTATTTACACATCAATTTCAGATCAATGGAAAATCATACCTAATGAAATACTTGAGGGGATGTATAAAATTCACTTTCATTGAAAACTGGCCTCAAATCTTCTTGCTGCATAAACTCTAAAGGGAAGGAAACGAGATGCCCCCTTACATGCTTCAGTCTTTCCATCGGATCTGTTTCTTTCGCCTCTCCATCCTTGCCGGACTCCAACAGCTTCTCGGGGGCTATTCCCAAATCGATCGTTGTGTGGCCATGTTTGTCTTTCCATTGAGCCTTGCATTGTCTGAGAGCAGCTCTGCATTTTGATGGCAAAAGTAGAGATTTTAGAGTGCATAGAGCAAATAAGTAAAAGGGCGACCCCAAGCCAACAAAGCTCCTCGCTTTGCAATGGCTGGGGAAGGAACGTATATTGTACGCAGTCTTGTAGTCAATATTGCACTGCTATTGTTAACAAAGAATCGAGATATCGACACTATTGATGGCATAATGCCAGTTCCATAGACAGGCTAAACCTGATCATTACTGTACCTTGAGTGAATAGAATCATTAGGGATGCAAGAAAAGACATCTTCGTAAATAATTGAATTTTCCTGGAAGACAAAAACATGAGAAAGTTACAGAAACTCAAAAATAATCGATCAAAACCAAAAATAAACACAGATTCTAACCACAGATTAGAGAATTGCAAGTTTTACCTTCGCAGTTTCTAACCACAGATTCTTGTATGTTGTGTCTGATACAGGATCACTGATTTGATTTATCTGAAAGATTTGAGATTCACCAAACAATGTTAATATTAACAGAGGAAAATATAAATCAGTAATGAACGATAAATTAGTGAATGTTTCATCGATGTTTCCAACCTCCCCTGCCTGGAGACCAAGGTGCTCGGACCACAGCGAGCACCTGAGACTATACGCCAATTTTCCGGCCTTCCATGGTTGTCCATTCATAGATGATTCAAGAAACTCCTTGTCCTCAAGCACTACACCAATCTGCAATGAATATCACATTGTTCATAGGTCATGTGTTTGAAGGATCTCTTTCTATGTAAATTTAAAAAAAACTAAACGATTGTCCAAGTACAACTACGGAAAACAGAGAATCTGACTGCTATAGAAAACTATTGCTTCGTACTAGAGCTGTCGTGGAAGTATGAAGTTGAACAACTCATTTGAGCAAAAAATTCTTAGGGAAGCGGGAGTATTACACAAGTAAAGGAACACTATGTTTTCTTCACAAATATGTATAGATGTCAAATAAAAATCAACTTCTACGCTCAATGGTCTGCACTGCAGCACACAATAGCGTTTCTGTTACTAGTGAACTTTAGTTGAGGTGAAATAAAAGAACGAACAAAATGCAATGAACGTGCCGCAACACTTATTTGCTTGACAAAAAAGAGAAATTTACCTCAGAGTCTCTTGATCCGAGCAGACTTCTGTCATTAATATTAGATGATCCAATCAAGGAAATACGATCATCTATTATCATCACTTTGCTGTGTACATAAACCTGATAAATTCATACAAAGAATGAAATCTAGCAATCAATTGACAAACGAAAGCACATATCATATGTAACGCAGACAATTACCTGACTTGTTGCCACAGGGCCACCTTCGAAAAGTCTTCCATATGTCCTCAGACCATAGAAAGAAATGTAATCGTGTGTCTTAGGACCAAGCTTAACTTTGAGCTTATGCAGTATTGAGTGTTTTTCCCAGCTAATGGTACGGTACTGCCAATGCATTATGGCTCTAACGGTAGCTGCACCACCATCGTCCACACCACCCTATTACATGTACCATGAATTAAAACGAAGAGAAAACACTGTTACTGAAAATTCACAGCACATAAATGGGCAATCAAATTAAGAAAATAAACCAAGAATTGTACCTGAAAGCCGGGTAATAGTGGTATGACAACAATAACCCTAAAACACTTTTGTTCTTTGTATGCTAGCACAATACGCCTGTACAACGTTTCCAGGACACGATTCTGTATAATCTCATCCCCTGAAAGACCTGATATGAAAAATTGATTCTGGAAACAAACATCAACCAACATAGCAAAATAATCAGCGCACGAACTGAAAATCAAGACTTTAAACAGCATCTATTCATATTTAAATTACGAGTATTTGTTTGATTCAGATCAAAGAATGATTCAAGAAGTGAGGACAGTGGTGCAACCTCAATATAGACAAAATGTTCTGCGTTCTCAATGAGAGAACAATAAGCGCTGTGTATGCTATCTTCAGTTTGGCTAGATCCAGCAGACCACTGGCTCACACTTCTCACAACCTACACATCAAATATTCATTAGATAGAACTATATGCCTAGGCCTAGCCAAATCGTGAAGTCTTCAAAAACGAAATTCCCGGTATCCAAGAGGCCTCTCTAACCTGACAATGGCATGCAGTATGAGGACCTATTTGTCCGTAATCATCAGCAGCAACAGCATGATCACCTCCCTCTGAACTTTCTGACGATTCATCTGAAGTTGTCGAGCCAGAATGTGCCATGTTTAAATTTGCTTCACTTTTGAGATCCTTAGAATGAAGGTCATCTGTGAAACCTTTCATCTGTGTATCAGGGTCTAGATCATCAGCTGGCTGGTCAAAAAGATTATGATTCAAGTTCACAGCGCTTAACTTTTGGTTTTCAATAGGAGCATCCAAACCATCTTCTTGAGGCAAAAGCAATGGAATATTTTGCACTGGTGATAGCGAGGAAAAAGAGTTCTCTCTGCAGATTCCATTCTGGTTTTCTTCTTTGTTTTTCTTCTCAATGTCTATCTCGCTACTTCTTCCCAAGTAGTGGGGGAGAACCATGTGGTGCTGAGGCATAAGTAGCGGAATTGTTTGTTCATTTGGAGCTTTGTTTCTCTAGAAATGGTTCGTCAAGTTAGCAAATTTACTTAATTAAAAAGAGAGAATGTCTCCACAAGACCAGAAATAGTAGAAACTCAACCTTAGCATGGTTCCAACGCTGAACAAAGTGCCGAGCAATGTCACGACAGGGCGGTCCCCAAAGAGCACAATGGACATCATGCCATGGCATACGCGGATACTTTTCACGGTCCAATTCATCTTGCATTGCGTCCTCCCAAGAATTTGGTTCAGATTCTCTACCCCCCCCCCCCCCCCCCCCCCCCCCATCGCAAAAAGGAAAATGAGTATGAGTTGTATATGATAATTTTTTTAGGAAGGAACTGAGAAATACCTTGGGTTATAATAATCCTTTCCCGGCCATATATGAGGAGGGCAGTCACCCACTTTGTGTTCAACCGTGTCATAGCGGCCAAAGCACAAGTCTAATCCTCCCATGAAGCAAATCTGGTAATCAACAATGACAAGTTTTTCATGATGTGACCTGTACATTTACGTAAATAATTTATGGAGAACCATCATCAAACCAAACAAAAACAAGTTAATTAAAAAAATGTGGATAATTTTAATTCAATCTTGATATCAAGATAAAATTGAGATGAAATCCGTTCAGAAAGTGCATACCATAAATAAATGCCTGTGGGGAAACGGTCAGGATAGCGCATTACTCTCACATTCTCATGAATGTTAGAAAGCAATCTCTTGCTGTAAGAACTGTTGATTTTTAAGGCAATAGAAACCTCCTTGTAGAGAAGAATGAAAATCTGCATATAAACCAACATTCGAACAGAAAACGTGTCAAATCAACCCACTAAAACAGAATAAATACCAACAATGAGAGAGAATAGTTGTGTTTGCACCTGAACTCCTTGCTTAGCCTTTTCTTCTAGTAATGCATCAAGCCGAGAAGATGGATTGCTATGAAACGGACGTCTAAGATACAGTTCTGGGCAAAGCCACCAGCCAGTAATGAAAATCTGGAGGCAAGCATTTTATGGTTGAGACCTCTCACCTCACCACCAGAAATACACTTTAATTGGCGTAAACAAGGCAAGAAACAAACCTCGGATTTTGCACCTTCAATAGAAGTAGCAATAGCTTCAAATGCTGCTTCTCCATCTACAAACCATTGAGCTTGACTCCCGTCATCGGCCAAACCCCTTGGAGGAGCAAAGGAACCAAACCGATGAGGATGACACCAACCTTCATGAGGCCTTGAAACAGCATCATTTATTGCAGTAACCCATCCCTTAACCTTAGCATTGCTAGTGGTTCTTAACCTTAAGCTTTGATTTCCACAAGCAACCTTTTGACATTTACAAATCATGTGTCGGTCATCAGAATTAGGTCAAAGATGCTCAAAGCACATATAAGTCATACATAAAATACAAGAACTCACCCTAAATGTATAGCGCAAAGGGTTACGTTCCTTTATTTGATTAGCCAAATATATTTTAGACTGTCCAATTTCTTTGGAATCTGGCAGTACATTGAAAACAATAATGTCTAAAAGTTCGGTGTCAAAAGGATCCTCCAGTAAGGCCAGGAACCCAGGTTTTAAAACAGCCCACACCTGCAGTTGGATGAAAAACATCACGATAATCAAAATGCGATTCTCTCGAAATAAATAGACATATTGTAGGAAGCATAGTTTGATTTTTCTGTACTAAACAACTAAAGGAAAAAAGTTCATTCAAAAAACCTTTTGCCAGTTGTTGCTGCAACAATCAAGACATAAGTATGCACATGATTTCACATCAGAGTTAGCCCCGGTAATTTTTGGTAGATGCTTCACCATAACATAACCTTCTTTCAACTTTGGTCCATACTCCTGTAAAAAGGAGAGCTTCGACACCTCCAAAAATTTGCAGACCTACAATCCAAAATCACTTCTTATAACAAGCGTGAAAACGAGTACCACCAAATTACAGCAGTAATAGATAAGGAGCACACCTCTCGAGAATTGACTAGATCCATGTTCCCCAAAAAATGGTTCAAATAACCCTGCATTGCAACCTTCCCTCTGTCGGAAATGGACTGCTGGCCTCCTAATGCTGGACGGAGGATGGGAAGAGCAGCACGAGATGGAACATCTCTGCATCATAACCAAATATAGAGAACCATAAGTACCATTAGCATAAAGGCTTAATTTGTGCCCAAGAATGAAAGAGAAAAGGGGATACGAAAGTCAGAAAATCACCTGTTTCTAACACTTTCGTCATGATGTAAAGGGACCGCCCCATCATCTGGTTCGTCATCATCTTGCACTACCGCTGTCTGATCAACTATTCCTATACTATGCAGCCATTCTTTAACCTTTCATGTAAAGTTCCCATGAAAAGTACATTTTCGTGTTAGGCCAAATACAAATGAGAAAAATCCAGTACACATAAATGTTACTAAAAATGAAAGAACATAGACATATCAAATAAAATTGGCAAACCTGTTCTTGTTTCTCATGAAACTCCTCAATTATCGCGCGTTTCTTCAAAGCAAAATGTAAATAGAGAACCTGTGACGCTTTCTTCAGCAACTGCCACTTGAACTGTTACAGCGGGATACAAAACAAATCGTTGACAATCGAAGAGTTTTGTGAATCATTAGATGAGACAATCATGAACAATGTACCCAAAAATTATTAGAACATAACATTGGTATTAGTTTTGTGGAAATATTGGAAAAATCAAAGAAAGATATGGAAAAGGGTGCCATATCGGGGAACTCTCAGTTAAATATCAACAAACTTACTTATGACCCCAAAGTTTCATTTTAAATTGCCATGTTTTCGAGCAAATTTCCTTCATTTCCATAGATGGCAACCGATATCAATATCAATATCGATATATCCATGTATATTTACACAAATTTGCATATCGATATTTCCCCTGATACCTTGATATTTTAAACACTGGTATTAGTAAAAGAGCAATCATATGATCTAAAAACAACACAAACTTGGAAATTTGATCAACAAAGTACCCAAACTATTTACCAATATTCAACTTCAACTGATTTTCCAAAATAATAATAACAAATTACCAAATTTTAGTTTCTAAAAACTTAAACTTTTGAAGAACAACCATCCCAAACAGTTCATACAGATACAAATTACACAGAGAAAGAGAGAGCTTTGCCTGCTTGTACTGAAACTCAATGGTGTAAGACAAAAGCATGGGGCTAATATCTCCGGTTTCGGGCCGCGAAACCGACACGATGGTGGCCACCGGAAGCTCTTCGAAAATCGGGGTGAAGGAGAAAGACCCCACATTCATATTCACTGCATCGGACTGCACAAAACCGGTGGCAAGGAGCTTCTCCGACGACATCCGACAGTTCTTGCTTTCGGAATCCCAATAAACTCACTTCCTGCATATCCTTAAAAAACCAGACCAAAGTTTGAGACTTTCGGGTTTTTTAAGAAACAAGAAACAAGAGCTTGATTGTGAAATGCAGCGGTTTTTATGGTTTGCAGAACTCCCGGGAAATTGAGGAAGGTGGGCTTTGGGTTTTGGTGAACCCACTGATTCTGCATGATGTTTGGTTAGTGAAGTGACACGTGTGATTGTTAGGTTTTGAATCTGTCTGTTAATCCACGTGGCAGTAGATAAAGAGGTAGTATGCAGTTTGAGTGAGCCCTATGGTAAAAAAAAGAGGTGGAATTAGAAAAACAATTAGCAAAACTAATTGGAGTTATTTAGTTGGTATATGCTATATATGGATCTGGTATTTGTATTTCATGATGATGGCAATGGCTGCTTGCCAAATGTCCAAGATACCCTTTTTAATTTTTTTGCTTTCATTGTAACTCTTTGAATTAAGAAACCAAAATTCAGGTTATACTCTCTTCCATAGTTGATCAATCTGAATTCAATCAATAATTTTTTTATTATCAAGAATTCGTTTTTAAGAGTGGATACGAATTAATAATACGGTTACAAGCCTAAGATCAATAGTTTCAAAATTGTACTAAACTTCAAATTCAACATTTTTATCTAGTAATGCCAGCAAAATTACTACACATGTATCTTGATTATACCAAATTTTGGTTTAAGCCAGTTTAAAAAGCTTAAAACCACAACCAAACCAACCTATTACCGTATGTTTTGGTCGGTGCGACCAAATAGATGCCTGCCTCTAACTGTTTCCTATGAGATTAATAGAATTTAAACATTAGTTAAAAAGAACTCTCTATGTAGAAGCCAATTTTCATGAAAATAACTTGAGGGCATTTTGGTAACTGTACATAGTATGTCATTAAGGTTCATGTACCACAGTGGCAGTTGCATACGGCATATCCCATTGGAGGATCAGAAGAAAAAGAATATTCAAATTTATGCGCTTACCTCTGCGAATATGCCGAAAAGGGGTTAGTGGGTATCTTCCAAAACACCCACTCGTTAAGCATATGTAATTATGTTTGAGAAAGATTAATTAGACCACATAATTAAGTTTAAGTAAGCGTAATTACTAAATTAAGGCATGCACATTGTTGTTGGAGATTCCATTATGCCAAGCCAACCACTAAAGCAACAAATTAATACTTATTTAAGTTTTTCTAGCTAAAATAATCAATGAGATTGACAAAATTCTTTATTTTGATTCATGAGATTTAAAATCGATAGAAACGGTTTCTGAAATTGTCCACCATTTATCATATTGGTCATTTTATGAAAAATCTCCGTTCAAATAAATGTATTTTTATCAAATCAATCCCTCCACTTGACCTAGTGATTTTTTTAACTCGACCCCTTCAATTAATTTTAAATCTTAGAAATTAAATTGAGGTTATGGCAATTGCAGAGACTTTATTGTTTGAACAATTTTATTTCAAAAGGGGAACAACTACTGCAAACCATAGTTATCTATTCTTTTTGGGCCTGAAGAGCTTATGGAGAAATTTATCATGTCCATGTTCACGATCAAGCAGACTCATCAACTCTAAGCATTAATCCGGGACCTTCCACATTTTATTTATTTATTTGAGAGTCGCAGTTCTCGTCTTTATCACTAAATCATTTGTCGTGATTTTTCTGAGACTATTTTAACAAAAAAACAAAAAACAAAAAAAAAACCTTAATGTTTATTAATGTTTCTGACCACAACTTGTCGTGCACGGCTAGATTATGCAGTTTATGCGACAAGTAACGAAAATAAAATTGCAATTTTTGGTTCAGTAATTGCGTGAAAGTGATGGTTGCATAATTTGACACCTGTTTAAATTTTATTTATTTTTGGTCTATGACGCACACCGGACAATAACCAAACTTAACAAGCAAGACGAAAACAGTCTAAATAGTCAATTTATGACGTAAGAGCTGAGTAGAAGCTCTTGATTTATATGGACAAAAAATAGAAGCTCGTTTTGATCTTATTAAAGGCTGGTTTGGTATTGTTGTGCTTTGAAAAAAAAACTGATGTGAGAATAAGCGGTTGTACTGTGAGAATAAGCGGTTGTGAAATAAATCAGGAGAGTGTTTAGTAAACTTTTTTGTAAAAGTGCTTTTGGAAGAAAAAAAAAACAGTTTGATAGTAGGTATTTTCATTAAATGAGTACTGTAGCTCCGTGTGCTTTGAAAAAAAACCAGTTTTCCAAAGCTGCAAATAGCAGCTTCAGCTTTTTCCTTTGATTTCAGCTTATTCTCACAACAGCTTTCAAAATAAGCCTTTTTTTTTCAGTTTACCAAACATCTAAAACCTTCACAGCTTTTTTTCATGGGTACTTTTTTTTTAAGCACCTCATTCCCAAACCACCCTTAAGTGTGAGTATCAGAGCACGAGATTTGTGGCTAAGTGAGTTAAGAATATTTTTTTAGGGAAAACTAATGAAAAATATTTGAAAATTTTGAATTTTAATGATAAGCACAAAATAAAGAGTCAAATAAATAGTATCAAAATTAACTTTTTAGTATAAAAATATGATTTTTCGTTAAAATGAACAATACCATAAGTCGTTAAAATTCCCTATTTTTTATTGCACTTGAGGTTTCGAGTTTCTTTTCTCTTGCTTCAATATCTCTTGTATAAAAAATTATGAGAATTGGACAATAAAACGTGATAACAAAGACTCTTGTGTTTTGCTAGAGGTAGCAACTCTGATTTTATTGAGAATATTTTAGTGGATCAAGAACACGGTCCGGTATATTAAGTACCTTTAAAAAGTAGTTAAAACTTTTTTTCAAGTATTCAATTACTTGTATTATGATACTTTGTGTACTGAGTTGTGTTACCACCAAGCTAAAAAAATCAAGAGATAATATTTGAAAAAAGAGAAAAATTATAGGCGACCTCTGTGAAAACTCCTTACTCTTTCTTGTGTAAAGGCTCACAAAAAAAAAAAAAAAAAAAATTGAAATATCAAATGATATATTAAAATCCATATATCCTAAGCTCATTAGGAAGTAAGAATTCCTAAGCCCATTAGTAAGCAGGATTTCCTAAGCCCATTAGTAAGCAGGATTTCCTAAGCCCATCAAAAAGTAAGAATTCCCAAGCCCAGTAGGAAATAAGAATTGCAAAGCCCAGTAGGAAGAAATCCGACGTCGTTAAATACCAAAGCGGCATTCCACCAAACTCCCCCATCAGTTTTACGTTTCTCACGAGCAAAGCTTGTACGAGAACGCTTCAGTTGATCAGTTTTCTTTCCTTGTGTGAGGATCCAACTCCTCCGTCGACACCACGATGAAGAACCTCCGGCTCTAGGTTTTCAGACACGGCTTCAACTCTTCGGAATGCAGAAAACAGCGGAGAATGCCCTTGCTAGAATACGAATGCTGAAGCAAGAGAAAGCGTTGAAGGCGGAAACTAGTACTGACATTGCTCGTGACTGGGATGAACGTTTGATACGGCTCAAAACTACAGAACATCTTTTAGATTTGTATGTTTTGTTCGAGAGCTTCTGCAAATCGGTTCTGGACAACCTGTCGATCATGGAAGAACAAAAGAAGTGTCCGGCTGAAGTGAAAGTAGCCATCGCTAGCTTGATATTTGCAGCTCCGACGTGCACTAAAGATGTTCCGGAACTGATGACACTCAGGAAGATTTTTGAGAAGAAATATGGGGAAAAATTTGTATCCGAGGAAACTAACCTGCAAAGTCCCGATTGCGCTGTGAATCTGGCGATGGTTATGAAGCTCAGATACTACTACGAGGAAGCCGCGAAGATCGAAAATCGCAAACTTAAGGCAAATGTTTAGATTGATCAGCTGTCATGAAACATGTATAATGTATTGCCTTTTTGTTCATGTACAACTCTATGAAGTTCATTGTTCCAAATAGTATGTCATTTTCGATTAAATTGTTGCTTTATTTTTAGGTTCCTTCGACCCGTTTTTTCTTATGCCGAAAATCATCTCTTTTCTACGTAAAATCATCGATACAGTTACACGAAGAACAAGTAATTTCTTCTAGGAAAAGCACACAGCCATATTAGGATTGTCGTTGCACACGATATACAAACTTGTGTGGAAGATTGACAGAGCTTGAGCCAAATGCTTCAACTGGCCGTCCAATTTCGACAAAGACAGTGAACTTTGGCAAGAGAAGCCATGTAATCGTCGGACCTAATATGAACAAGGAAATCAAATTTATGTTTTTAACAGATACTTAACTGTTTTTAATAAGAAACTAGTTTCGATTGAACTTCTAAATCTAACCTTTGTCCATAAAGAGACTGGCATGCAGCAACAATATGGAGTTTGGCCCCATCGGCTTTCTTCTGCACGGGTTAAGATAGCTAGTTAGCAATCACTGAGAATTTCTCAGCACCATTGAAGCTTAACATAAGAGATGGTGTAGCTAAAAACAATTAATCAATATATTAGGTAACGAAAACGAAGATAACTTGGACAGTTAGTATTTTCTGCGAGTGGTTTTGTTCCTGTGGCTCAAGAATTTAAAAGGGAAGTAAAAACACATGATTTCTGACTACAAGATCAATGGAGAACCGTTTCGTCCCATCTCTAATTATTGCAGGAACACTCAGATTCGGTTGACATACAACATGTGACACCAGAAGGATATCAAAAGAAAATTATCATAGTTTGAAGCAAACCTCAGATTCGTAATAAAGTCCGGCGTATAAAGAAGCGTAGAAAAAATCACTCTCACGGCCATTCAAAAACGCAGCAGCAAGCTAGGCATGAACATCAATCAGTTAATTTAGAGGAAAGTCATGAACCACACAACAAGCCCAGATAAGAAATGGTTTGATCAAAGAAGAAAGGTTTCACTCAACACCTTTTCCGGATCACCACCATCTTTAAACATGTTATAGGATTCTCGCATGACAGGTCTTGGATCTCGGCCAACCTGCATTCGATCAAATATGTAGTTAGAAGAATTTTATTCAAATTTCCACTCAGTACAACGGAATAATAGCGCTTCAAATAACGTCTGCCAGTCTTTAGTGTCAAGCTTAAAGCCTAATTTAACTTTGTAGCATTGACTTGCCTCAAGAAATCGTTCCCTTGCTTCGTTAACTCCATACAACTGA